AAAACACTCAGGATAGTTTCTCCTTCCCTCACATTCCACACCCACTCTGTCAGCAAGCCCTGCTAGCTCTGTCACCATGTCCAGTGCTGTGTCCCTGGTCCAAGCCACAGCCATCAGCTCTGGGATGCTGCAATGGCTTCCCTGCCGGCTTTCCTCCCAGCTTTCCTCCCCTCCCAGCCCCAGCCCCAGCCCCTGCCCCCTCTTGGCCATCCTCCATGCAGCAGCTTCCTGAAGCATAAATCAGATTCTGTATCAGGTTCCGGCTTAAAACCTCCCAGTGACTCTCCTGGAAACTGGAAACACACCCATCTACACCGTTTATCAAAGCTACGAGGCTTCTGCCCTGTCTCTGACCTCGCCCCCTTCTGCTCTCCCTCCATCCCTGTGTGACCCCCTGGGACCTCGCCAACTTTTGTCCTCTCTCACGGCCTTTGCACTGCCGCTTCTTTCACTTGGAAGCTCTTCTCCCGGATCCTTAGCTCATGTCAGTGCCTGCAACTACCCTTTTCATGTGTGTCTTAAAAATTGATTTTAGAGAGGGAGGAAGGGAGGGAGAAAGGGAGGGAGGGAGGGGGAGAGAGAGAGAGAGAGAGAGAGAGAGAGAGAGAGAGAGAGAGAGATGTGAAAAAGATACATCGACCAGTTGCGTCTCATACATGCCCCCACTGGGAATTGAACCCACAACCCAGATATGTGCCCTGACTGGAAATAGAACCCAGGACCTTCCGGTGCACAGGATGACAGTCCATCCAACTGAGCCACACCGGCCAGGGCATGTGTTTGCTTTGCACATGTTGCATGTCCCCGCAGCCCTGCACTCCCGGACAGAGGAGAACAGAAGCTCTTGTCTGTCTTGTTTACGGCCGTGTGCCCAGAGCCTGGAGCAGGGCCGGACACAGGCAGAGCTCAGTGTCCTTTGTTGGCTGACTTGACTGTGAGGACTGTAGCTGAGACTTTTAGAGCCGGAAGAGAAACAGTGCAACCTCAGGATCTCACACATGGGGAAACAGAGGCACAGACAGTCACTTGTCCAGCGGCACGAATGCAATCATGCAAGCCGAGTTGGTCAGACCCAATTCTGAGGTTCTTTTCCAGGCACAGTAGCTACTCCATGTGAGGGCCAGTGATTTCACCCTGCCAGCCGCCTGCCAAGTTATCATGGAAGCAGAGCTCAGAACACATGCTGTCGCCCACACAAATATTGATGAAACAAGCATTTATTTATTAGCAAGGAGCCACAAAACCGGTTCATGTAATCTGTTCAGGAAAGGCCCAACTCTGGGTCCTTCTAGGTGTTCGACTATCTTGCAATGAAGGGCCACTCAAGGAAGACACAGCAGTGTAGAGGCAGGATCAGTTCCAGGCGTCCTCAAACTTTTTAAAGTGGGGGCCAGATCACGGTCCCTCAGAGAGCTGGAGGGCCGGACTATATGAACTACTAATTCCTACTGTAACACCTCGGCTGCGCTCACTGCCCAAAAAACCTGGTGGGCCGGATCAGACTCCTCTGCGGGCCGCATGTGGCCCGCGGGCCGTAGTTTGAAGACCCCTGAAATTTAGACTGATGGTCACATCAGGCAACCAGCACGCCGTGGGACCTGGATCCCTCAAGAGTTCAACCCTGTGCATCAACCCTAAGTGATTTTTTCTTTTAAAAATGTTTTTATTAACTTTTTAGCTAGAGGGAGAAACATTAGCCGGTGCCTCCTGCAGGCCCCTTATTGGAGAGGAGCCCACAACCAGGGCACGTGCCCTGACCCGGAATCAAATGGGTGACCTTTTGGTATATGGGATGCAGCTCAACCAGCTGAGCCACACCAGTGAGGGCTGAGATTCTTTTACTCTGAACAAGGAATCAGTGGTGACCCCAAACCATTTTAGCCAAACCACACAGTTTGAATACTACTCATTTCACCAAAGGAGAGCTCATTTCTAGTACCTGCTATGCCAATTAATAATCCATGAATATTACTGATACACTCATTGTGGCATTCTCTGTGCTAATCGGTAAAGGTTGGGGGTAGGGGGAGGGTGGATGTAGACATGGAGAGCTGTAGAGGTGGCTGAACTGATTGTGTGTGACCCTGTAGGTTTCTTTAACTCCCAGGCTGGGAATGTGAAATCAGATGTGGCGGAAGTATTTACACCATGGAAATTGGTAGCAGGGTCCTCCCCCTTGGAGTGACAGTTATTAAACATTTATCAGCGTATGGCTGGATAGGCCGTGACCTCTGGTGTGTGACCTTCTGATAAAATGCTGGCTGACCACCTCACCCTCATGACTACCTCTTCACCAGTGATGCCCAGTCCTGGCTGCACTTTAGAAAGTGCACCCGGGACCTTTAAAAGAACACGGATTCCCAGGCACCGGGAGGTGGAGATTCTGAGTTGACTGGGATGGGGTCTGGAGATCAAGACACATTTAAAACTCACCAGGCAACCCTAATCTGCAGGCATGGTCACACTCACACCTGTTTGTCACACCATCTATGCCATGTGTTCTAACTGTCTCACAAAAAGTTAATGGCAAAACCAGGATCGGCAGCAGACCCACTGACGGCCAGCCCAGAGCTCCTGGCAAAGGGAGGAAAACGTTGAAAATAGGTTGTCACTTCTAAGGTCTCAGTGTTTGTTTGCAAATATGACTGCGGGGCAGCCCTCAGCACTTGGGGTTCAGGTTGGGGGCGGGGAGGGACGGCCAAGTGGCTCAGGAGCCCAGGGAAGGCTGGGTCAGCCCCACAGAGCTCCAGGCTCCCCCCGCAGGAGTGTTTCAGCTTCCGGCAGCTTCGTTTCCCAGGGCATCTTACAGGGCTGATGTGTGTGTGTGTGGGGGGGTGGGTGGGGGTGGTGGTGTTAGGAGGCTAATCCTCAGGGAGAGGGAGGCAGACTAATCCCTCAGGGGACAAGGTGCTGAACTGGCACTCCAGGGGTTAGAGACCAAAGCCTCAAAGAGTGGGTGTAAGACTGCCTCTGCAGGGCTGGCTGAAGGAAACTACTAGCATAGGAAATGCCATAATAAATGTATCAGTAATATTCATGGCTTATCAATTAACAAAGAAGGATAGGAGTTAATTTCCTCCTCCTCCTCAAAGGACAGAAAGTGTGGTGGGTGGTTAGACACAGGAGCAGGGCGAGGACTGTGGGACAGGTCACCAGGGCGGAAAGCCTTGGGTGCCTAGCAAAGGACACAGACAGGGCGGGGCCATGTCCCCAGGGTGACATATCCCCTTTAGCGTGCCACTGGTCATGCCCTTCGGACCTCCTGGCTTTTCTTTCCTAGAGGTGGCATCGAGGCCTCAGTTGTATTTTAGCTCCAGACCCAGAAAAGCTGCAAAACCAGACAAGCGAAGCCAAAGCTGATCCCAGGACCAGCTGCATTGGATAATGACCTCTTTCCTGGGCTCCGGCCAATCAATCAGGGGAGACCTAGACCTTGAAAAGACACACCTGAGAAGCTGCTGGATATTCTATTAAGATATTCCCCCTGGGGCCGCCCCTAAAATTTCCACCCTCAAAACCCTGAGGAGAGAGGGCCAGTGCGTTTCCTCCCCAGAGCAGGCTCTGCCGCCCCCTTTCCCTCTCCCCAGGCACAGCACCTTTACTGTCCTCACGTGTAAGCCCCAAGGGCCCTTTCTCTGTCTCGGTAACGTTTCCTCAGCTCACTTCTACAAATTACTTCCACTTCTGTGATTTTTCTAAATGTCCTTTGATAGTTTGGGTCTTGGCTCTGAATTCTTTCCTAGCCAGAACTGAGGTTGCTGCACCCAGGTCTGGTCTGACCCTACTGGTCTAACACCTGGACCCGTTACGACCACCGCCAGCAAAAGACAACCCTGAACACTGCGGTCAGAGGCTTTCCTGGGCCTTGGTTATCCCCCGGAGGGTAACCTGCAGCAGTCCCCGGTTCCCTCCCTGTCTCTGTCCAAGGGGCCCTTACAGAGCCGGCTCCTTTGCACCAAGAAACCTGAGTTCCCTTCAGGGCTGGGGAGAGCTCCCTTCCCACCCCCAGCCTTCCTTCCTTCCGGGGAGCAGAGCCCTGGGGGTGGGCCTGGCCCAGTGCCCGTCTCCCTCTGGGAGTCTGCATGTGCAGGAGGCTTGGGAGTCCACACCAAGGGACCAGGACAAGGGTGCCATTCCTGCAGTCACCACCAGGGACCCGTCCGGCACTGCCTTGTGTGACCTCTGGGCCACCCTTTTAATTACAAAAGCAACAAACACAGATGGACTCCCAGGCTGACTGGGCCTGGGAAGCAAGGAAACAGCAGCGAGCCAAGCTGGGGCCATCGAGCTGAGGGAGAGTCTCTCAGTCAGGTCTGGCTCCAGGCAGAGGGAGGCCTGGTGGGCAGAGGCTGGGTCAGACCTGGGCTGAGTGTGCAAGGAAGGGGGCCGCTGACCTGGCCTGAGGGTGGTGTGGAGGAGGGCTTTCCTGGAGAGCAGGGTTGGGATCTCACCTGGCCACTGAGAAGGGGTTTCCCAGAGACTGGATGGGGAAAAAGGGTCTGTTAGAAAAGGAGACTCAGGGTCCCGGCTCCATTGGGGGGGGGGGGGGTCCTTTAGCCCCAGCACCCTAGTCTGCTAGATTGATCTCTCCTCCCTCCTCAGGCTGAGCAACTCACTTCCTTATTACATCTCACATCTTGCTCATTTTAGCACGTGAGCGGTTAGGTCCTGCCCTGTTCCCATGGTCTTCCCTCTCTTGACCATTGTGGCAAGAGTGCATTTCCCTATGTGCGCTCTCCCTGCAGCTCCGCTGGACACATTCTCTCATGCCCCAGGGCTGCAGGCTACGTTCCCAGAGTGGCACGCGACCTCCTCTGCAAACACCTCGCCCCCTCCCCTCCCTCCCTGCTCCCGGGCTGGGTCTCCGGCTGCAGCCCCGCCCTCCTCCCGCCCCCTCCCAGAGGCCGGGCCAGCGCCTGGAGCCCATTGGCCGCCGGGGCCGGCCGGGCCCGGGCCGGGCTGTGATTGCGGCTCGCGGGTGTCAGTCCTGGAGCGATTGCCGGGGGCGGGGCGGGGCGGGCCGCCGGCCGCAGCCGCAGGTGGGGCCGCTCGCTGCCAGGGACCCGGCGGGAGCCCCGCGCCCCGCGCCCCGCGCGCCCAGGATGCCCCGCGGGGACTCGGAGCAGGTGCGCTACTGCGCGCGCCTCTCCTACCTCTGGCTCAAGTTCTCGCTGGTCATCTACTCCACGGTGTTCTGGGTGAGTGACCCCAGGAAAGCCCCGGGGATGGAGCGGGGGCACCCTTCCTCCACCGCCCCACGCCGAGCCCGGGGCTGCGGCCAGGCTTGGCTGCTCCCCGTCCCCACTCTCCCTGGAACCTGGGGGATTCTGGCTCAGCCTGCGTTCCAGCCTCCCGGGCGGGATCGGTAGAGCTAAGTTGGAGCACCACCTAGCTCACCTGTGTGCACTTGGCCGCCGTTTGGTCCTCCGTGTTTCTTCACATCCGCTCAGCTGGGTGCTGGGCGGGTAGGCCCTTGGGCTCCCCTCGTAAGCCTCCACCACCCCCACCCTGCCTGCCGGGTGTGACTGGGTTTCCCTCCCCATCAGCCTGTGGAGGAGGTTCTGTGGCCCTGGACTCCGGGCAGGGTTCCCACTGTTGACTGGCTGATGCCCCGAAGCAAGATGCTTCCCAGCTGCTCTTGGTTTCCTCTGAGTGGAAGGAGGATGCACCGGGAGGATGTGCGTGCCTTGCCCGCGGATGGCTGGGAGGCTCTGGCCACTCTTAGGTGCTTAGTAACTATGTCCACGCCCACCGAGCTTTACCTCCTCTTCTGTCTGGGTGGGGGGCAGGATGGTAGTCTTTGGACATGAACCAGACTTCCAATCCTGCTGATACCACTTTCTCGCTGAGGGATCTTGGGGAAGTTCCTTCAACAAGTTAAGGCACTTGCAAATGGAGACTAATGATAGTCAATGCTGAGGATGGTTGTGGAGCTTACATGATACAGTAGGCCGAGTACATGCTTAGCACAGGGAACAGGGAAGAGCTCAAGAAGTGCAAGCCCTTTTGTTAATTGTGGACAAGGAAATTGGGTCCTCCTGGTAAAATGTCCCCGAGAGCCTGGGCTTCCTTATGGAGATTTCAGGGTAGGCTGTCCCCCACTTAGAAACGAAGACATCTGTCCACAGTCCGGTTCCAGGCCGGCTAGTGTAGGCTAGGCCCTCGCCCCCAGCGTGCCACAGGGCAGACTTTCCCAGAAAGGGCAGAGGAAGTCACTGACCCCCCCCCCCCCCCCCCCGTCCCCCCAACTCATGCACATTCCTGTCTCCCCCTCGGCCTCTCCCTGGGTCTGTTCTTTTTTAAAGTATATATTTTATTGATTTTTCACAGAGAGGAAAGGAGAGGGATAGAGAGTTACAGGAGAGGGATAGGTAGAAACATCAATGAGAGAGAAACATCGATCAGCTGCCTCTTGCATGTCCCCGACTGGGGATGTGCCAGCAACCAAGGTACATGCCCTTGACCGGAATCGAACCCGGGACCTTTCAGTCCGCAGGCTGACGCTCTATCCACTGAGCCAAACCGGTTTCGGCTCCCTGGGTCTGTTCTACCCACCTATGGCCCCTCTGCAGACCTGAGCCGGCCTAGTGGTCAAGAGACCCAGATTCCAGTCTTGCCCTGCCCCTGACTCCCTGGGGGACCCTAAGCCAGTCACGTTCTGGTGGGAGCCTCAGCACTACTAAGGGACCTGCCCATCTAGCAAACTGGGTGAGCCCGGCTCCCGATCCAGGTCTCGGACACGACGTCGTCTGGAAGAGGGAGGAGCAGTCTGTCTGGGGGCCACAGGATGAGCATAGACATGTGGGTGGGAACTGCGCGGGGAGGCAGCAGGGTGAACATGAGATTGAAATGGGGATGATTTGGGCTCTCATTCAACGTTGCATCAGAGTCAAGTAGAGAGTTTTAAAAACACTACCAATGCCTGGGCCTGGGTATGTATTTTTACTCACCCTATTTTAAGTTCTTCAGGTAACGTTAGTGTGTACTCAGGGTTGAAAACTGCTGGGCGAGATGGTCTCACGGGCCCCTGATTCCGATTCTGGGGTTCTCTGCTTGCCCCTTGCTTGTCTGGCCTCAGGAGCTCTTCTCTCAGAAGGTCCGAGTTGAAAGAGAGAAGACCACCTTATGGCCCTGGCTTTGCTTCTTCTCTTGGGTCAGGGTGGGACTCAGAACTCGGAATCCTTCCTCTCCAGCCAGCTGAGCTCACCTTACCAAGTCCTTGACTTTCCATTTAGGGAAGACCAAGAGTCAGAAGGTGGGGGTTCCATTTCTGGCCTCACCCCTTCTCTCCATATGCAACCGTTGACCAGCCTCTTAGCCTCCTGTACCTCCATTTTCCCATCTGTACACGGGATGGCTGATACTGTGCTGCACGGAGCCTTGGACTGTTTTTAGGGTCAGTGATGTGAGGAGAGAGTGATGTGTGGGCAAGCCAAGTGCTGTACCAAAGAAAGTTGTACCATACACTAAGCTTGCCCTGGCTGGTGTGGTGCAGTTGGTTGGAGTATCATCGCGGGGGTTGATTCCCAGTCTGGGCACATTGCTGGTCAGGGCACATACTGAAGGCAACCGATCAATGTATCTCTCTCACATTGATGTTTCTCTCCCTCTCCCCCCCTCTAAAATCAATAATAAAAACAAACCTAATCTTGAATTGTCAAGGCCTTGTTCTGCCAGTGTCTCTCTCCTGCAGCCCAGAGAAGGCCACCTTACGGCCCTGGCTTTGCTTCTTCTCTTGGGTCAGGGTGGGACTCAGAACTTAGAATCCTTCCTCCTCAGCCAGCTGAGCTCACCTTACCAAGTCCTTGACTTCCCATCCTGGAATCATTGCTGCTTAAAAATCTCCCCACCCAGGCCAAAACTCAGCCACCTGCCAACTCTGCCTGGGCAGCGCCAGGTGCCAGAGTTTGACTGCAGGGCGGGAGCCCGGTGTGAGTAAGTAATTTGTCTGAGGCTGGGTTTGCTGTTAACTGGGCATAATTACAGGAAAGCCCATTATGCCTGGTCTATCCCTCGGGAGGAGGAGTGGGGCCAAGGGTTACTTGCTTTATAAGCCCAAAGTGCTAACACTTTCATCCCAGCCTTTAGGCCTGGAAGGAGCCATCATTTTCACCATAACAATGCACCTCCTGTAAGACCCTTTGCTTTTAAACTTATTATCCATAAAGGCATTGTACACTATTTATAAATACAAAAGAGTAGTTATCAGTGACAAATCTCCCTCCTACCCCTCTCCCCTGACCTGCACTGTCCAGAGGAGATATCTATGATCAGTTTCTTGCTATTCTCTTCTGAGCTAATAGTCCACCATAGGATGCCCGAGACACCTGCTATATTCTTGTTTTTCCACAAGCACACAGTCCTGCGCCTTACATCTTCACTTACGTTTAAATCCATGTATTAATACAATTTGAGACTCTGCTAAGGGTTGCCTCATTCTGTCTGATGGCCACATAGAAATCACTGAAGGCCATGCCAAAATTTATTCCATCAGCCTCCAACTGGGGAACTCAGGTTGTTTCCAATTTCTAGTTACTGTAAACAGAGCTGCAGTGAGCCTCTTCAAATGTGTTGCTTTGCACATACATGTGCATAACTGAGGGTCAATTTCCAGAAGTGGAATTGCTGTGTTAAAGGTTATGTGAATGTATAATATACATACAAAAAAGCACCAATCATAAGTATATGCAGCCCTAGCTGGTTTGGCTCAGTGACTAGAGTGTCAGCCTGTGGACTGAAGGGTCCCAGGTTCGATTCCGGTCAAGGGCACATGCCTGGATTGGGGGCTCGATCCCCAGTGTGGAACGTGCAGGAGGGAGCCCATCAATGATTCTCATCATTGATGTTTCTCTCTCTCTCCTCCTCTCTGAAATCAATCAAAATACAATATATTTCAAAAAATAAGTGTATGCATGCAGCTTGATGGGTTTTTATAAAGTGAGCACACCTTATAAAGAGCTCCCAGGACAACCAGCAGAATGGACAGCAGAAGTCAGAGCCCTCCTTGCTCCCACTTCTGATCCGTACCCCTTCCTTCCAGTGGTAATCACTACTGGAATGTCCAATAGCATGGGGCAGCTTTGTCTGGTTTTGTATGTGCTTACCAGGTTGACAAGTGTTAACATGTCCCACATAGAGGTTTTACCAACCATATTATCTGTAAATGAACTCACTTTTTAAACTTAAGTGTTTTTTAATATATAAATATTTTATTGATTTTTTATAGAGAGGAAGGGAGAGAGATAGAGAGCTAGAAACATTGATGAGAGAGAAACATCGATCAGCCACCTCCTGCACACCCCCTACTGGGGATGTGCCAGCAACCATGGTACATGCCCTTGACTGGAATCAAATCCGGGACCCTTCAGTCCGCAGGTTGACGCTCTATCCACTGAGTCAAACCAGTTTCGGCCTTAAGTTTGTTTTTAAAAGAAGGGTTTACACACTACTACCAATGGGAAAATAATATTCCCTCATCAAATATAGTGGGTAATGGTTACAGTAAGTACAGTGCAAGGACACCCACGTTATTAAGTCCTAGCTAGATACTATGGGTGTGGTAGGCTGTGAACCTGAGGCCTGCCCTCTCTGTTAAAAAAGCAGTTTGGCAAGTGTTTCCAAGGCTTAAAGACAATCTGGCACCAAAGCTGAGATTTGCTCCTTTATGACGGAGAGGGCAGGAAGGGAAGTGAGCAATGAGGACTTTTCTGTCCGTGCGTCCATAGGAGCCCCACCTGGAACCATGTACAGTGATCTCCTGCCACTCTGGGGGGCCCTCTTGCTTTCACAGGGGGACCTTAGGGCCCAGGGAGGATGTATTTCATGGTCACTCAGCGAAGTTGGCATGGATTCCTGGGTGTCCACATGCCCAGTTCATTGCTCCTTCCTGTTGAGGTTGCTGAGGATTCTCCATGAGCAATGAGCTCACCCAGAGGCGCTTGGAACCAACTCTTCCCGTCATGCAGGGTGAATCATTCTGACACATGTGCCCTCAGCCCATTGGGGACACACCTCTATTTTTAGCATTCACAACAGGGCAGTCTAGAGATCCGTTTACAGGACTGTGTTTTCTTGCTGGACTGTGGGCTCCTAGAGGTTAGGGTGTGGCTCATTCATATCTTCTTCCAAATGCTGGTCTCCCGGTTGGGCACCCAGTAGGTGCTCCAGGAAAGCCTGTTGCATTGGGTTGGCTGAGTCCAAATCTGTGTCTTTTGAGTAAGGGTTTGAGATGGCGGTGCCTGGGTTAGAGGCCAGGCAGGTGTGGAGCCAGCAGTGGTTAGATGTTGCTGAGGCCTTGAATTTGCGAAGTGGGCAGGGCTGATCATGGAGACACTATCACTCTGGGAATATTAGTAGTAGTATTAGTAGTAATATTAGGAAGAAAAGAATTTAGGGGGGTTAGTGGGAAGGAAGTGGATGTGGGTTAGTAATAAAGGTAATGTGACAGAGGCGATATTAACTTGGCTTTTCTTTGTCTATACATGAACCCTGTTATCATAGCTTGGCCTGATATCTACCCTGTTTCCCCGAAAATAAGACAGTGTCTTATATTAATTTTTGCTCCCAAAGATGCGCTAGGTCTTATTTTCAGGGGATGTCTTATTTTTCCATGAAGAAGAATGCAGTACACATTTATTGTTAAATGAAAATAAAGGAAATTTATTGCCTGTATATGGTATGGTAGTACGATAGTTGTCAACACAAACCAGACAAACTGTGAATCCTACAGTATCAAGAATTTACTCATTTATTCAATGACAATCATGTCATCATCTTCTGGAACATCATCATAACAATCCAATTCCTGAATTTCCTGGTGAATTTCTTGTGACTCCATTTCTTTCAGAATCAGTGAACCAAATCTCTCATGTTTAGCCTAGGGGAGGTCTTATTTTCTGGGGGATGCCTTATATTTCATTCAGAAGGAAACCTGTGAGTAGGTCTTATTTTCAGAGGATGTCTTATTTTCAGGGAAACACGGTATATATATAAAAGGCTAATATGCTGAGTGTCCATCTGGTTAATGACATCATGTAGCAATGCCTGGCTTCCTGTCCTTACCGACAACTAGCCTCCTTGTAGTTTCTTCAGCCCAGGAACATGACTTGCTTTATAGCCAGGTGGAAACATTTCATGCTTCAACCAAATGTCTGTGAAGCATTTTCCCATGTCTCGTGTTGTTTGATCCTCACAGAAGTCCTGGAGCAGGTAGATAGGAGACTTGGTGGAATCCTATTTTCTTTTCATTAGTCGGAAAATGGAAATTTAGAAAGTTTGGAAACTTGACCCGACTGAAAAGAAGAAATGGTGGACCTTGAAAGTGACTTCAGGTTTTTTCACTGTGCAGAATATAGTCAAACACTGATGTAGTTAAATAGTTTACCCCTTGTTCTCCCTGCATGATCTCAGTAATAATCTGCTTCATGTTGATATTTACTGCTGTGTTGCTGACAATTACCTGAAAGAGAAGTTGGGGTGCTTAACTGGGCTGGGAAAAGTTTAACTAAATCAGAAAGTGGGTTTAATTAAGCAAGTTTATTCTATATCTATAAAAGGCTAAGTTTACTTGTGCATGCACAATACATATAAAGCTCTCGCTGGCACCAGTCACACACGTGTGTTTCAATCTGTCATTGTCAATTGTGAATTTGGTTGACACTTCTATTATAGAGAAAGTGTGAATGGTGATATTAAAATATTTCTTCTAAATAATTTTCTTTCAGTGTGCATGAACTCATGCACCAGGCCACTATTATTCCTTTAGTTTAACAAATGGGTAAGACTGTGGAGTCTGGACCAGGCTGCCTCGGTTCAAATCCCAATACTGGTCCTTTATAGGTCGAGTGACTTAGGCAGTAGCTTCCATGTGCCTCACTTGCCCTATTTGTAAAACTGAGTGATATGAAAGTCTACCTGAGACTTGCCTTGATCATTACATGGATTAATAAATAAGAAATGCTAAGAACAGTGCCTGGGACATGAGAAACACTATATCAGCTCCTTAAGGGCTAGCCTTTCTTCTCCTATCTTCCTCTCTGTTTGAGGTGCTCAGGAGCCATAGACTGAGAATGAGAAGGGCCCGTGAAGGCATCTCTAGTGTGACCTTTAAATTTTTTAAAAAAAATATATTGATTTCAGGGAGAAAGGGAGAAGGAGAGAGCAATAGAAACATCTATGATGAGAGAGAATCATTGACTGGCTGCCTCCCTCACGCCCCACACTGAGGATCAAGCCCACCACCCGGGCATATGTTCCAATGGGGAATCGAACTGCGACCTCCTCATTTATAGGTTGACATTCAACCACTGAGCCAGGCCAGCCAGGCGTGACCTTTTCCTTTTATCAAGGAGAAAACAGAGGCCTGGAAAGAGGATGCGAGTTGCTTGAGACCCCACAGCAAGTTAGTGACAGACCAAGCCCAGAACCCAGGTTGTCTGACTCCAGTACCTTCACTGGTCCCCATGACCTTTCCCAGCCACCCCCTCTGCGGAAAGAAGTGGTCCTCACCTGGCTGAGCGCTCAGGGCTCGGGGGTAAGAGGACAGGCCTCTGGGAGGAGCCAGGGACTTGGCCTCCACTGAAGTCCTAGATGAAGCCAAGCGGAAAAGAAAGTAGATTCAGTTTCCAGCAGGTATTTCTAACTTTTGAAAAGAGCTTTATTGTTTTTGTGAAGATAAGTGCACACAGTTCTAAGAAATTTCAAGCAATTCACTTAAGTACATTGGGAGGGAACCACTGCAGCATTATTGGCAAACACCCAACGGGACATCTTGTACTTATACATACGTATTTTATTTCCTTAATTTTTAAAAAAATGCACTTGACTCATCAGGCAGGTCTATTTTCCTCTTGTTCTTGTTCTCAAAGAGAAACGAGTGAAACCCAGGCAGAAAGGAGGCAGCCTTTGTCCTAGAGGAGTGGTCCCCATGCCTGATGAGCTGTCAGGGAAGAATCTAGAAGCAAAGGACCTGGGCTTGGGCCTCAGCAGAGAGGTCATCCCCTCCCTCAGCCCGGCTACAAGGCTTTTAAAGCCAGAGGACTGGGAAGCAGTCCTGGAAGGAGTTTGGAGAATGTTCCAACGCACTCATCTTCCAGATGAGCAAAGCGAGCCTGAGAAAGTCTCTTTGCTCCCAGTCTAGGCTTCTGTGCATGACCCTCAGAGAAGGAAGGGATTGGTAAGCGGTGGGGCCGGCTTGGGACCTTGCTGCCTGTGGTTGTTTGTTCCTGAGAAGCTGGAGTGACGACCTGCCTCCTTCCTCCCCCGGCTGCCCAGTGCCTCTTCTCTCTGTGACTCACAGTGCCAACCTGGGGTGGGGCTCAGCAAACAGATAAGGAACTGATAATGAAATTTCTGTACCAGCCGGCTCCACACGGAGGGAGCGGTGTCTTCTGGGTAAGCCCTGGACACAGATTGAAAAGAGAAACCTTGCCTACAATGAACCTTTGGATCTGAGTGGGTTTGAATCAACATCTCAGTGGAAGGGAGGCGAGTCCAGTCTTGACCTGCCCTTCTTTTCAGGGTGTGGACGATTTGTGTGCATATTCAGTTAAAATTTTTTCTTTCTTTCTCTTTAAAATTTTTTATTTTTATTGATTTTTTCTGAGGGGGGCCATCAACTTGTTTCACTCATTGGTTGATTTTTTTTTTTTTACTCAGAGAGGAAGGGAGAGGGAGAAACATCAATGATAAGAGAGAATCACTGATTGGCTGCCTCTGCACACACCCCTGCTGGGGATCAAGTCCGCAACCAGAACATGTGCCCTGACTGGGAATCGAACCGGGACCTCCTGGTTCATAGGTCGATGCTCAACCACTGGGTGGATGCTCAACATTTGGTTGATTCTTGAATTTGCCCTGACCAGGGATTAAACCCACAACCTGCTTTTCTTTGTTTTTTTGTTAATCCTCACCGAGGATATCTTTTGCATTGATTTTTAGAGAGAGAGGAAGGGGAGGGGGAGAGACATATCAATTGGTTGCCTCTTGCATGTGTCCTGACCAAGGCCAGAGATCCAGCCTGCAACAGAGGTATGTTCCCTTGACCAGAATTGAACCCAGGACCCTTCAGTCTGTAAACCCACGACCTTGGTGTACCAGGACGACACTAACCAACTGAGCTACCCCAGCCAAGACCACAAATGCTTTCCTGACGTCCACGCGTGTGCCCGGTGCTGTGATGATTATTGGGAAACAAACAAGAAAGGCTTAGCTCAGGCCTTGGAAGGCATGCAAACCAGCAAACAAACGAGCTTGTGGAAGGTGCTAACGAGGACATGGGGGAGAAGTGGGAAGAGATGGGAGCTCCTGCTTTGGGTGGGTGGTCAAGGGGGGCCTTTAGGAGGAGCCGAGGCTCAAGGAGTGAGGCAAGGGTGAGAAGGAGCCAGCCATAAAAGGCCTGTGTGGAGCATCTCGGAGGGAGCGGTGGGGTGTGGACCCGGTCTGACTGGCTGCAGGACCATGGACAAGTCACACAGTCCTGTGCCTCAGTTTCCTTGTCTGAGGAAAGGCGCTAACCGTTGTCCCTCCGCCAGGGGCCAGCTTGGATGGGGAGATGGCTCCAGGGCCCTCTTAGCAGAGTCTTGTATTGTCAGCACCAGTGCAGGTGCTGGGAGGTGCTTTGGCTTTGGGCAGGAGCCCGGGGCTCACTGGCCGTGGTGAGGCGGGTGGGGAGCGGGCGGCACGGGAAGAGCTGCATCTTGTACTGGTCCTGCCACTTTGCTTACCTCATTGGATCCTCGAGCAGCCCCGTGAGCTGGGCAGACGGGCTGAGGAGACTGAGGCCTTGAGGGGCGGTGACTGGCACAACCAACCATTGGCATTCATGCCCGCTCGAGACAAGAGTTGTTCCCTGTGGAAACCGTGCCTGTTGTGTTCATGTTTTGAAAGGGGACTTTCCCACCAATGAGGGTGCTTGCCTCTTGGCCTGCAGGGAAGTAAATATTTGCCCAGAGGGTGGAAGGAAAACAGCCGTGTCCTGGTCAGGGCTCAGAGCCCGCCCCCTTCCTGCAGGAGACCCCTCCCAGGATGCAGCGTGTGGCCTTGGACCAGTAGCACAGCCTCCCCAGGCTGTTTCCGGTCCTGGGGATGGCTGTGCTGGTGCAGTGTGTATGGGGGGTGGGGGGAAGACTGCGGAGGTGCTTGGAGTCTGGCGGTTGGTCCTGCACACCCATTGAGTGCTGGCGCTGTGGGTCCTGAGGGGGCTTGGCCGTGGGTGGAGGCCAGCCCCTATCCCACCCTGTCACAGGCTGGGGTGAAGGCTCCTGAGTAGAGTGGGTAGGGCTTCCAAGGCTGGCATCCAATCCTGAGATGAGACCTTGGGGAGTGACCCAGTGCTAGCCCGCGGGCCTGGCTGTGACTTGGAGCCTCCCTCCCCGGGGGATTTGATGAGCACAGACGCCCAGGCCCCATTCTCAGATTCCATGCGTTAGACTCTAACGGTTAGAGTGAGGCCCAGGCGCCCATCACTTTTAAACTTCCCCTGGTGATTCCGATGCGCAGCTGCAGTGGAAACCACCACTCACAGCTGTGTCTGAGGGAATTCTGACGGGGCTGGCCTGATTCCCAAGATGACGGTCTCTCCAGTTGAGTCCTGTTCGCAGCCTTGCGGACACCGTGGGCAGTCTCTGGGCCGGGAGTATAGTGTACACGTTGGGAGAGGCCCACCACCGAGGGAGGGCCCAGAAGTGAGAGAGCGTGTTGGCCAGGGGAGGCGGAGGAGGGGTGTGTGTGTGTGTGTGTGTGTGTTGGAGCGGGGGAGCTGGCAGGGCCCAGTCTGGGCCAGGAAGGGCTGGTGGAAGCGTGTGGAGACCACCAGCCTGGGGGTGTCGGGGGCTGGGCTCCTTCAGGGGACCAGGATGTATTTCGGGGGGTCCGCGGTTCTAGAATTGTGTTTTCCTTTGGTTTCACCTGGTCCGGGGTTAGCTTTGGAACTTGGAGAAGTCTCTGTGGAAGCAGGTTTGACTTCCTTGAGCCAGGGGTCACACACGGGGGTGAGCTGAGATGAGTGTCCCCCCTTTGACCGTGTCTCCACTGGAGGACCGCCGAGGCGCAGGCTCCACGGTGGGCAGCTGGGTGTGATCTGAGGACCAGGGGCCCGCAGTTCTGGCCCCCCGGGGAGAGGAGAGCAGGTGGTGGGAAGCAGTTCCGGGCAGGTGGCCTGAGCTTGCTTGGGGTCAGGTGGTGAGCCGGTGAGTCAAGCAGTGGTTCTCAACCTTTCCAACGCTGTGACTCTTTAATACAGTCGCGACCCACAGGTTGAGAACTGCTAGCAGGGTCACCTAGGACCATCGGAAAACACAGATATGTACATAAGGATTCATTAACAGGAGCAAAATTACAGGTATGAAGTAGCAACGAAAATAATTTTATGGTTGGGGGTCATGAGGAACTGTATTAAAGGGTCACGGCTTTAGAAAGGTTGAGAACCACTGAGTCAGTGGAAGAATGGGGCTTCTGACTCTAATCAGTGAGCTCCGTAGTGGGTTGAGTTGCTTCTCCCCCTAAAAAAACCACACACACACACACACACACACACACACAAAACTCCAGACATGTTTATGTCCCTGAATCTGAATGTGACCTTATTTGGAAAAAGGGTCTTGCAGATATAATCAGGTTCAGGATCCTGAGCTGAAACCATCCTGGATCTCCTGACTGTGCCTTAAACCCAATGACAAGGGTCCTCATAAGAGAAAGGCGGGGGGGAGCCTGAGGCAGGTAGGAGGACCCAGACGCAGGGACAGCTGTGTGAGCGCGGAGGCAGGTGAAGGACCGCCTTAGAGCCACCAGCCGCCGGGAGAGGCCGGCTCTCCCCCCGGAGCCTCCGGAGGAAGCGTGGCCTGTGAGGACACCTGGGCCCCGGAGCTGTGAGAGGACACCTTTCTGCTGTCTTCAGGCGCCCGGCTTGTGCTCGTTGGTTACGACAGTCCCCGGAAACGAACGCAAGCCCTTTTTGCCTCACTTCGAAGGGGCCCAGTGCAGGGCCCTGGAAATCCCTTCCCCTTCTGTGGCTGTGCTGGAGACTCAGGTGGAGACCGGTTGTGGTGGGGGTGAGGGCGGGAGGGTGGGGGAGGAGCGAGGTTGGCAGGAAGGGGAGACTTACAGCCCTGCCCCCCCAGAACCCCCGCCCCCCTGGCTCTTCAGGCCCTCGCAGGTCAGAGGCTGTGCTCTCCCATCTGTTTCTTACGGGCCCCTTCCCAAAGGAAAGCCCCACAGACAGAGGCTGAAAGAGGCTAACACTGGGGAAGAGGATGCACGTTAGCTCTCAGAAAGGACTTCCTGGTCTGAACATGGTTAAATCTAAACTGCCTGCCCAGCCGAAACCGGTTTGGCTCAGTGGATAGAGCGTCAGTCTGCGGACTGAAGGGCCCCAGGTTCGATTCCGGTCAAGGGCATGTGCCTTGGTTGCGGGCACATCCCCAGGGGGTGGTGTGTAGGAGGCAGCTGATCGATGTTTCTAACTCTCTATTCCTCTCTGTAAAAAAATCAATAAAATATATTTAAAAACAAAACAAAACAAAACCTGCCTGCTCAGCGGGCTATAAAACACCCGGGTTCCCTTGCAGCCTCTCAGAGCTGGAGCGTCACCCATCGCTGGGGCCGTTAGCATATGGCTTGGAGCTTCGGTTGGGTAGAACTTCAAGGGCCTTGGCTGCCATCTGGTGCGGCCCCTTCCTTTCCGAGGGGAGGAAGCTGAGACCGGGCCACCCAGCATGTGCCTCTGGCCAGGGGGACAAGCTCCATTTCTCAGAGGGGGCAGTGGGCGCTGTCCAGTGGTTGCACCCCAGTGTCATTTTCTCCAGCTGGAGGCAGGTGTCCTCTGCTGCTGGGCCTGGGGACAAGGGCCTGGCACGTGGTTTATCACAGACCGGCCTTCCCTGCAGGGCCAGAAAGAACCCAGGCGGCGGGAGCCTGGTTCAGGCCCCTGGTTTGGTCCGGCTCAGCCTCTGACCCGGGACACCTGCTTTCCTGGCCCTGTGAGCCAAGGGGACGGAGGGAGGAGCCAGCCCGGTTGCTGTCCTTCGGGAAGCGGGCACCCTGAGTGCTAGCAGCATGCCCAGGACAGCTGCGGGCGTCCTGTGATCGGGGTGGGGCCGGCCCGCAGCTCCCAGGAGGCTCTGGCGGGGACAGTTGGGCTCCGGGCCCCCAGCCTCAGGCGGGTGCTCATGACCTGAGCAGAAATGAGACGGGGACGGGAGTTGTTCAGGAGCCACAGCCCCTGATACCGGAGAGGGGCCTGTTGGTTTGTGTCTTCCTTCTCCACCGCGGTCTCTGGTGTGGCCTCCCTTAGAATTCAAGTTTCTCCTTTCTCCCGTCCCCCCACCCCCCTCCCACCCCTGCTCCTTGCTGCCCTCTGTCTATCCTGATGGTACTTCCACTTCTGTTGGTTAGATTAGGTCAGGACCATATTTATTTTGGTAAAAAAAAAGTCGGCTGATTTAAAGAAAAATAGTGGCACCTCTGGGTCAGGTGTAGGCACTTTGTATCTGCTGATTTTAAAGAACGAATGGGGGTTCTCATGTGTTATAGCACCTTTCAAGGAAGTTTCCCCATCTTTTGGGGTCCCTGCTGGACCCCTGGGCAGGAGCTGTCATTCCTGATAACAGCAGAGGCACGAACAACACTCGGGAGGGCGTGGTCTGCCCTCCGAGGTCACAGCTCCTCAGGGAGGGCGAGCCTCACCAGCCCAGCCTCAGGGGGCGGTGGTCGCAGCCTCACCTCCTCTCACGTGCAGCACCAGGGCTTCCTCATGATGCTGATGGTGGTGTTTGTCTTCTCTGGTCCTAATTGCCTTAAAGGGGAGGAGGGGATCGAAGAGGACAAGCACCTCTCTCTCCTTCCTCCAAGCCTCCCCTCAACAGGGAGGAGCCGGTCCTAAAGCCCTCGGGTCCTGCGTTCTGTAGGCTCGGCTGCATGTGTCATAGGTGAGACCCTGCCGCGGGCTGTATGTAGCCCCCGTTGGCAGTGAAACATCCGGTTCGGTCCTTCATTTCAGGCCCAAGGAGTCTGCCTGTCCTGGGCCACCGGTGAGCCTGCCCCTGCTGCGGCCCCTGGGACTCCCCTGGCCAAAGGGAGACGCGGACCTGCAAACAGACCTCCCCGTGGAGGAGATGAGACCTGGATCTCGCTTGTTCTCTCAATGTTTCTTCTGTGAAAAAAAAAAAAAAATCTAAAATGGAAAAGGTGACAGGATGACACAGCGAACACCCACATGTCCAGCAGCCTGGACCGGCAATTTTGGCATTTGGCCCTGTCAGAGGAAGTGGCAGACATTGTGACAGTTCACCCAAGTATCCCAGAATGCACCTCAAAAAAAAAAAAAAAAAGTGCTTGGATATAGCCACAGCACCATTCTCATGCCTCAGAGAATACCAAGACCACATGAAAACTTCTCCGGTTGTCCCTACGATATTTCCCATAATGCACTGGGAAAAAAAATCAGGACCCAGGACCACGGCTCATGCATTGCCTTGGATCTCATTTTAACAACAACAACAAAAAAACGGGAGAGGTGATTCTGGAATCCTGGGGAAGGCAGTGTGTTAATTATCTGCATTTGCCTGATTCACCAAGACTGAGTGGGGCCTTGCTCTCTCCTGACTTAGGAAAGTCAGACAGTGAGTAGGGAAAGGCTTGCTGGGCCTGGAAGGCAGCG